AGGGGTAGATAGTTTATCCCATCCTGCCTGGCCACCTGGAAGGTCTTTGACAAAGGAATTGAACTTTGGCCTTATTAAGTCACGTGCAGCAATGGTAGACACAGTGACAGCCCTAAAGTACAAGGTGCTATGTAATTTATTGTTTTTTTTAGTACTAAATTGCTAGAAAAATTGACAGAGGGAGTGCTTTTTATTTTTAAAACTGTAGATATTATTTGTCCATTGCACAGGATAGTGTTTTGTTCCATAATTTTTAGCCAATTTCAAGTATATTCTATGAATTTCTGTTACCAAAAGAAGTAGTCCTCTTCCTGGGTTTTTTGTTGTTGGTTGACTTGTTCATTTGTTGAATGAATGTTTACTGAGCATCTTCGATGGGCCAGGTGCCATGTAAGCCCTAGGAAGACAGGCATGAACAAGACAGGTAAGGGCCTCAGGGGGCTTGCATTCTTGTGAGGAGACAAACATAAATCAATTAACAAGACGATTTCAGACCTAGAAGGTGTTGCGGTAAACGGTGAGATGAAGGAAGACTGCCCAGTGGGTTTTGGTTTCTTTAACAGCTTCATTGAGATATGATTCACATATCATACAATTCACTCATTTAAAGTAAACAATTCAGTGTTTTTTTAGTAATTCGCTGGTTGTGCAATCATCACCAGATTCTGATTTTAGAATATGTTTGTCCCCTATCAGAAGAAACCCCATACTCGGTAGCGGTCACTCTGCATCCCTCTCTCCGCCCCCTCAGTCTTAGGCACCCACCAATACTTGGACATTTCAAATAAATGGAGTCATACGACATGGTCTTCTGTGGCTGACTGCTTTCCCTTAGCATGATATTTTCAAGGTTCAGCCAGATTGTGGCGTATGTTAGTACATAATTTCTTTTTATTGCCAAATAATATTCCATTGTATGGATATATAGCACATTTTATTTTATCATTCACGGAAATTTGGACATTTCAATTGTTTCCACCTTTTGGCCACTATGAATAATGTTGCTATGAACTTTCCTTGAACTTACCTATATAAGTCATATGGATGTATGTTTTCATTTCTCTTGCGGACATGTCCAGGAGTGGAAGTTCTGGGTCATGTGGTAGCTCTGTGTTTGATCTCGTGAGGAATTGCCCAGCGTTTTCCAAAGCAATTGCACCGTTTTACATTTCTACCTGCTGTGTATGGGGGTTCCAATTTCTCTGGTCCTCACCAACACTCTTTCTATAAATCTTCTCTGATTATACCTAGTGAGCATGAATTGATAACTTATTGTGATTTTGATTTACATTTCCCTAATGACTAAATATGTTTATCATCTTTTCATGTGCTTTGTTGACAATTTGCAATCTTTGGAGAAGAATTCAATCCAAATTCTTTGCCCATTTTAAATTGGGTTATTTGTCTTCTATTCATCTTTTATTCCTGAGTTGTAAGAGTTCTTCATACTTTATGTATACAAGTGCCTTATCATATATAGTCTGCCTTTCATAGCTACGGGTTCTGCATCCTCTGATTCAACCAACCTCCAATAAAAAATATTTGGAACCAAAAAACCAATATAACAATAAAAAATACAAATTTTAAAATAGAATATAACAACTATGTACATAGTATTTACATTTTATTAGGTATTATAAGTAAAGGCAATTTAAAGTATACTGAAAATGTGTGTAGGTTATGTGCAAATACTATGCCATTTTGTATAAGGGACTTGAGCATCCATGGATTTTGGTATCTGATGGAGGCCCTGGAACTAATCACCTAAAGATACTGATAGTGACTGTATGTGATTTGCAGATACAATCATGTGCCACATAACAACATTTTGATCAATGCCGGACCACATATAACATGGCGGTTCCATAAGATTATAATGGAACTGAAAAATTCCTATTGCCTGATGACGTCTAAGCCATCATAACATCGTAGGGCAGTGCTTCACGTGTTTGTGGTGAAGCTAGTGTAAACAAACCTACTGTGCTGCCAGTTGTATAAAAGTATAGCTCATATAATTATGTACAGTATATAGTACTTGATAATGATATTAAACGGCTGTTACTGGTTTATATATTTACTATATGTATAGTATTTTTATCGTTATTTTAGAGTATACTCCTTCTAGTTATATATACTTTTTTAAGTTAATTGTAACAAAACAGCCTCAGGCAGGTTCTTAAAGAGGTGTTTCAGAAGGAAGTATTGTTACCATAAAAGATGCCAGCTCCGAGTGTGTTACTGCTCTGGAAGACCTTCCAGCGCGACAAGATGTGGAGCTGGAAGACAGTGATGCTGACAATCCTGACCCTGTGCGGGCCTAGGCTAATGTGTGTGTTCATGTCTTAGTTTTTAACAAAAATGTTTAAAAAATAAAGAACCAAAATATCTTAAAAATAGAAAACAGCTTATAGAATAAGGATATAAAGAAAGAAAATAGTTTTGTAAAGCTGTACAATGTGTTGTGTTTTAAGCTAAGTGTTATTATGAAAGAGTAAAAAAGTTTAAAAGTTTAAGTTTATAAAGTAAAAAGTTACAGTAAACTTAGGTTAATTCACGGTTGAAGAAAGAAAAATTCTTTTTTATAGGTTTAGTGTAGCCTAAGTGCTCAGTATTTATAAAGTCTGTAGTAATATACAGCAGTGTCCGAGGCCTTCACATTCACTCTCCATTCGTTCACTCCCTGACTCACCCAGAGCAACTTCCAGTCCTGCAAGCTCCATTCATGGTAAGTGCCCTATGTAGATGTACCCATTTTTATCTTTTATACATATTTTTACTGCACCTTTTCTGTGTTTAGATACACAAATACTTACCATTGTGTTATAATTGGCTACAGTATTCAGGACAGTAACTTGCTGTATGGGTTTGTAGCCTAGGGACAATAGGCTATACCACATAGCCTAGGTTATGTAGTAGGCTGTCCGTCTAGATTTGTGGAAGTACACTCTATGACATTCGCACAACAATGATGCATTTCTCAGAATGTATTCCCATCGTGAGCAAGGCATTACTGTTTTCTCTCCTATCCTATGGGGTTGTCTTTTCACTTTTTGAAAGTATCATTTGTAGCACAAAAGTTTTTAATTTTGATGAAGTCCAATTTATCTGGTTTTTTTGTTTGTTTCTTATGCTTATGGTGTTGTATCTAAGAAAACATGGTCAAATCCAAGATCGCAAAAACTCCTTTGTTTTCTCTAAGAGTAGTATAATTTTCACTCTTACATTTAGGTCTGATCCATTTCGAGTTCATTTTTGTATATAGTGTAAAATA